CTTAGAAGTTGAGACCTGAAGGATGGATGAGGAGGAGTAAGCTGGGTAAAATCATTGGGTGGGTGGGGGAGGGAGAGGCCAGAATATGGGTGAGCCCTTTAGGAGAGGGGTCCAAGGGATTTTGCTAGTCCTGTAGGCCAAGAGCAATGGAAGCCATTAAGGTGTTGTTTTTTGGTTTTGGATTTTTTTTTTAAAAAGGCTTTATTTATTTATTTGACAGAGACACAGGAAGTGGGAGAGGGAGAAGCAGGCTTCCCACCAAGTAGAGAGCCCGATTCGGGGCTCAATCCCAGGACCCTGAGGTGAGCAGAAGGCAGACGCTTAACTGACTGAGCCACCCAGGTGCCCCAGCTGGTCAATTAAAGTGTTTTAAGTGGGAGAGTGACATTCAAGTTTGTATTTATAAAATTCACTAGAATCGAAGTTAGAATGGGTAGAAATAAGGTCGCTTGATAGAAATAGAGATGAGTTTGAAGGCAAATAACGTTGACTTTGAACCAGAAAGGTCTTCCAAATATGAGTATCATTTATTGCAGAGGGGACTAGGCAAGAGAGGAGCTGGGATCCAGTGAAGTCCCTCTTTTTCCTGGAAAAACAGACGGGGCATCTGGGTGGCTCAGTCAGTTAAGTGTCTGACTCTTGATTTTCAGCTCAGGTCATGATCTCAGGTCATGAGATCGAGCCCCATGTTGGGTTCTGTGCTGGGTGTGGAGCCTGCTTAAGATTCTCTCTCTCCCTAAAAAACAAAATAAAATAAAGAAATAAAAGTAATTAGGATTTTCCAAAAAAAGAAAAACAGAATTTGTCATTCGTGAAAAGTGTATGAAGGGAGAGGAGTCAGAACTCCGCAGTGTCCAGCTTCTGGCCATCTTTGAAAAGAGTAGGTCTGATAGCTTTTCCTACAAAGACTCTTACCTGCTCAGGACTGTGGTGTTTCTAATTTGACCCAAGCACAGGGGATGTATAGAATCTGGGGTTTCCCAAGAGTAATAAAATTGTGGGGCATTTTGAAATATGCAAAAAATACATTGCAATAGCAATTTATCTGCTAGACGAGGATAGGTGCACATGAGGATTTCACTCAAAGATATAAAAACTGGCTTTTCTTTGTTCCTGGTTTTTCTTTTCTTGGCAGGATGGTGATATTATAGCCCCACTTATAACACCTCGGAAACTGGAATGGAATAACACGGATTTAGACCAGAGCCCAGATCACTTGCGGGAAGTGTCCAGATCTAGACATTGTCTTTTTCCAGATGACTCAGTGTGAATGTTTGCAGCCAGTTCTTTACATCAAGTTTCTTCCCTGTCCCCCAAGAGTATTAACTAACGTAGGGAATTCGGTCATGGAGTTCTACATATTTAGTCATAACTAGCGCTTTTTATATTTTGAATGTACACACATGCTGAAGCTAAGTAATTTTTATCCAAAGAAACAAAGAGGTATTAGGCAAATCTTGCTATACATGCTATGGAAAGTGTTACCTTGCCTATTTTAACCATAACTAAAGCCTTTCTCTAGTAGTCTTATTTTCTTAGAATAACAAAAAAAATTTTTTTATGTACTCTGAACTGTTATGACATATGATTGTTCTTTTTTAAAAAAATGCTTGGAAATGAGAGACAGTGTACGTGGGAATTTAAAGTTGGGACTGTCATAAACAGCCATGGTTAAGAATGAAACATAAAATCCTAGCCCCTTGAGGGAGGTACCCATTGCCTCAAATTTGAGGACAGTTTTCTTAAGTGATCTGAATGTTAGTGAAGGACCTTCCCTCACCCTTTTAGCCAGATTGGACTAAACAGTAGGAAATGAGGGCTGGGAGTGAGCTCCAACTTCTGAGTGAAAGGCATGATTAATTTTTTGAAAAGATCCAAGGGCTCAGGACTTAGTAGTACCTAAAACTGCCTGTGAGGGGGCTGTTCTCTGGGTCAGTTGCAGCCCCGGACCTGGGCAGTTTCTTTCTCCTAAATACTCACTATCCATGTCCCAAGGTCTTTATCACTATCACTGCTCAGCCTGGAGAAGGCTCCCCTCTGACCTTCTGTCTGAATTTCCCTTGTAAGCTCATCAGGGTCACAGGAAGCGTTCTTGGGGTTACACAGAGCTGGGATTTTGTTTTTGCTTGTTCAGTTGTGCATTTTATCAGTTTCAGAGCAAAGAATGAGCCACCTGGGGTGAGATGAGTGATTATCCCTGGAATTCCAAGTTCCCGTCTGTGGCCCAGAATTCCCCACGCTTGCTTGTTCTTTACCTCCTGCCATGATTTAGGCACAACTTTGGTTGAACAATTCCATGGAGAGGGCCCCCACACCCACCTCCATAAACACACAATTGCCAGTTCTACAGAACTTCACCAAGAATAAAGTCTGGAGTTAGACCCAAAGCTGGCGGTAGCCAGTTGGTTCTGTAGAAACAAGGCAGCGGGGAACGGGAGTCATAAGCCCTTAACATCTTATGCTTGGATACTCCTTTACAAAACCTCCATGGCAGGCCAGGATTGGGGCGCTGGGATGACTGTGGGCAAGAGCGAGTGGGAGGAAGGGAGGAACTCAGACCATAGGCAGCAGATTATCCACAAGTGTTAGGAGTCCTGCTACCTTCCACTGTGTAACCAAGTTCTGTTCTGTTAACAATAGGCTGAAAAGTCTTAGGAAGCCTGCCATTCTGTATAACTACCACCACCCTCCTCCATCCCCTAATAGATGATCAAGAGTTGACCCTAATTCATAGGAGAATAATGCTGTGTGGGTGAGGATATGTCCACACTGGGCTCCTAGAAGCACAAGTCAGCCATGGGACTGGGTCATATCTGTGTTGGCCGAGGTACCACTGAAACATTCAGTGGGGAGAACTGTAGGGCTTAGACTTAGTATATCCAGACCCAAGGTCAAGAATGTAATGTTTTTCTGCTAAGATTGTTTTATTTCTGCAACTGGTATCTTTAAATCATTGTGGTTTACTCTGGAATTTTATGTTTCAACATTGTATCATTGTGCTGAGAAGTAACTTGAATCTACTTTGCATCCTTCACCTATAAGTCAGCTGCACTTTATGCTCTTTGCAACTGTTTTAATTATCAGAACCATGTGCCATTTACAAGGTTAAAATTTTCTTAACAAACACCTTCACTATTTGTATAAAAACTGAGATTTTTAACAACTTAACCTCTAGAGTTACTGACCTGTTGTCACCTGGAGAATGGAAGAACTGCGAGTTTAAATGATTGGTTACTTCATTTGGGTGAGGGAAACAGCTGTAATAAAGCTCCACGAATGTATCTCCATCTTGAAACTGAAGGTATTTTCCTTAATGACGTCCTCTCACACTTGTGTGCCCAGTCTGGACCCTGTTGTGCAAAGGAAATTGGTCTAGGGATCTGCCAAGATGTGTGCTATGTCCATGCTATGGTTGGTTTGCAAGAGAAGGGACGATATATATATATATTTTTTAAGATTTTATTTATTTATTTGACAGAGAGAGAGATCACAAGTAGATGGAGAGGCAGGCAGAGAGAGAGAGAGAGAGAGAGAGGGAAGCAGGCTCCCTGCTGAGCAGAGAGCCCGATGCGGGACTCGATCCCAGGATCCTGAGATCATGACCTGAGCCGAAGGCAGCGGCTTAACCCACTGAGCCACCCAGGCGCCCCAGAAGAAGGGACGATATTTAACAGGACTTATGTTATTTGGTTTTCTGGCAGGAGGCAGGCATTGTCATGGGAAGGGATATGGATGTTTCTTCATTTCCTGAACTCTTGTGTCAGGAAACATATCTTTCCTCCTTTTTAACCTGCCCTAGGTTCCCATCTACAGAGACTCCAACTTCTTTATCCAAATAGGCATATCTTTCATTTGCTGCTTTCATATCTTCCTTGTGAAACTAGAGATTTGCAAGCACCCAGTATGCGGGTGGCCTACAGGAAGCCCTCAGTGTTCTAGAAAAAGAAAAATGCTACTGGAGTCTTTATTAGTTTCACCAGTTGAGCCCAGGTGTCTATGGTTTGACAGTATGAAGTTAAAATTATTTCTAAAACATCCAGAATAGAATCCCATTTTCTTTTCTCTCTCTCTCTCTTATTTTTAAGATTTTATTTATTTATTTGACTGAGAGAGCGTGCACTGGAGCGGGGGAGGGGGAGGAACAGCCAGAGGGAGAAGCAGGCTCCCCACTGAGCAGGGAGACCAACATGGGACTCAATCCCAGGACCCTGGAATCATGACCTGAGTCGAAGGCAGCCACTTAACCGACTGAGCCACCCAGGTACCCCTAAAATCCCATTCTCATAAGAGATGTGTGTGTGTGTGTGTGTGTGTGCATGTGTGTGTGTGTGTGTGTGTGTGTATTTGTATATATATGTATATATGTATTATGTATATATGTGTGTGTGTGTGTGTATTTATATATATATGTATATATGTATTATGTATATATGTGTGTGTGTGTGTGTATTTATATATATATGTATATATGTATTATGTATATATGTGTGTGT